TTTTTCATTTTATTCCATTCTTTCACCATACAATTTTTTATTCATTTGATCTGACAATTTCAGTAATATACCCAATAATTACATAATGAATAGCAACAGGACAAGAAGGAATGGGTTCAAGTTGCGCCAGGGGAATTTTAGATTGGATATTAAGAAAAACTTCTTCACTGAAAGGGTGGTGGAGCACTGGAATGGGTTGCCAAGGGAGGTGGCGGAGTCACCATCCTTGGACGTGTTTAAAAAACAGCTGGATGTGGCACTTCAGGGGATGGTTCAGTGTTAGTGTGGTGTAGGGCTGTAGGTTGGTCTTGGTGATCTTAAGGTCCTTTCCAACCTTTATGGTTCTATGATTTCTATGACTTAATCTATTTCTCTTTTCAGTCATTAGACTGGAGAACATGTTAGTCCACTACAAAGACAGCAGTTGCAGCTGTAGTTGGCCAAAGACCAGTCCTCGAATTTCCTTTAACTATACCTCATTTTTAAAATGCCAATTCAGTATTTAGGGCACCACATCATGGAGCTGATATACCTAATTTCAGGAGCAACTATGCCAAAGCAATCAGTCCCATGCAGCAACTCACTACCCAGCAGGGGACCAACCTACCCCCATAGAGGTAGGAACCACATGCCCACTCAGGGTGATGCTCTGTGCTTTGTGGCCAGGCAGCCTGGCTGGCTCCAAGAGGCCAGAATACACTTCTCTGACTTCACTCTTGCACACAGCACTGTAAAGAAGCATTTACTAACATCAAAGAAGTATATGCTCAGAACAACAGGACTGTGAAGAAAAGGAAAAGGAGGAATGGTCTGTGCACACTCTCACATGCACTGAGGAGAAGGTGGTTAAGTCTCTCCTTAGCCTGTAAAACGCAATATTTATGCAGGAAGAAGCAACCAAATAAAAATTAGCACGAAAGCTCAGTGCAGCATGAAGTACCAAAGTGCACAGAAGTTGTAGTTTCTCCCAGGGACACAACCACTTTGCGTGACATGTTTACGTCATTATAAAACTATCACACCATCCAAATTCCTCAAAATCAAGCAAGAAACTGCTTTAATTACTTTATTTCCATTATTTTGTTTTCTATTTTCTTTGCTCCTATACTTCACAAGTGGTTTTAATTTTGAAAGCTTCTTTTTTTAAATAAAGGTTCTTCAAGCTTTCTAAATTGTGGTGAGACAAATTTTAAGGAATTTTATATAACAAACAAATAACTTCTGAATTCTCCCAAAAAACCAAAGGTTGAGTTCTGTGATCTCTTTCACTCTTCTTTCCATACTAAAACATCAAAAGCTGATGTTCCGTTAGTTCTTGGCTGGAAAGACTTAGTTTAGGTAAGTCTGTAAGATACACTTCTGTTTTGTCACTTACAGACCTTCTATAACTGAAAACGATCTCTATCGTCCTTTCCAGCCTGGGCCAGTCTATGATTCTATGAAATACTGCACAACAATTAAACCTCAGGAATGACTCTCTCCTAACTGAATTAAAACTAACTTACAATAAAACAAACCAACATTTAATGGCAACAAGGCAAGCTGGATGACCCTGTAGTCAGAATCAAAATCTTATTTTGTTGTTTAATTGCTCTAATTTGAATCACCATGTTTTTTCATTTTTGTTTTACATGGTTTAAGCCAACTGCCTACGCAGGGACGAGAGGGAGCACAGGTTCTAGTATTGGCTACAGATACAAGTAGTATGATCCTCAGCTCTGCCAATATTTCTCAAACCCGAGCTAACATTTTAAGGCTTGGCCTCTTCTGAGAAGCGTGACAGTTCCACTGAACGTGCCAAAGAGTGTGCTGACAAACACACAACCTGAATCAGTTAGCAACCAATTTCTGAAAGGCATCAGCACCTCCTTCCCCAGAGTCAGTCTGATAAAAGAAGTCATACAAAATGCAATGTTCACAATTTTTAGCTTTTCTGTGGTGTATATTGTTTGAACTGAAAGTTCTTCACGTGTCTTTGTTGCAGAATTGCTTGTAACTTGTGTGTCTTTAAATAGTAGTATAAAACTGGTAAATTTTGAGTGGCTGAACAGTTTTTTTCCTTTATTATTATCTCTGTTAGTAACATAGAAATCTTTGTTAACTAAAAAGTTGTCTAACATGGCTGGATTTGGGGTTGACAGCCTTGTTAAAAGCTCTCCCTTATCAGAGGATATCAAACTTCCTAGTACAAAATTCGCATGGATTTTAGAAAGAAAATCCAGAGAGATTCCCAAGATGTCTCATTAGAGTGAGATGAAAAAAGTTTGAAGTTCTTATCTATGTGGAATGAACTGCAGTAAACAGATACCCAATCTACCAGAGACCTAAGCTGAAAATTTCACATGATTCAGCTCAGCATCATGCAGATTTTAACAGCTTGGTTCGAGATGCAGTGCAGTGGCCACGACTCAATGCTGTTAACAATTTAGCAAGTACTGCATTCACTGGCTTGAGTGACAGGCTCATACCTCATCCACTCCCAAGCTGGACTGTATTTTATCTACTTAATTCCATCTAAGAGTAGAGCAGATTTGCTCTGCACTTTCTAACTTTGCTTGGCGAGAGCCTTACAAGGCTAAGGCCTTACCCTGGTGTTACACACTGCTGTAAATGCCTCATCGTCTGACCCTCTAGGAGTTTTGCATTTGCAGTTCTATAGCCTGGTTTCCACTTGCAGCAATGTAAACCTTCACTAAGCCACTTGGGCAGTGTTTTCCAAATTTTCTCTAGCTGCATTTTTCTCTTGCTGTTCTTCCCATGCTGTTATTCTCGAGGCTCTTCACCTGCAAATATGCTTCAACAGTGTTTTATATATACTGTACTATAGCCCTTCTCTCCTCTGCCTTTTTCGTATCCCTTGGCAGTAATTTGGGATATACGTTACAGAGCCCAATAACAAGCATGCACAAAGCTCAATATGTAGCCAGTGTCAAACAACTGCCCTGTTGCAGCACCACCAGCACCATAAGCAGAAACAAGCAAGAGGGAGCTTGAGCAGGTCCTGGTGAAAACTATAGAATTAATAGGCAAAAGTTTTATGGGGAGCACTTGCTGCATGGGAACGGACATCTAGAGGAGGAGGCTTATCAGGGAGACTGCACCTTCCAAGTTGGCCACTGGGAAAACTTTCCCCTTTCCTTTTTCCCTCTCTTTTCCCTCCTTGCCTTTGCGTATTTCCACAAAAGCAACTTTCACCTTCAGTATCAATTTACGCCTTCAGCTGCACACGTGGCAAATGGATCTTTGCACCTTGCACATAAACTTGTTTCAACATCCTCTGTGCAACACATCATCCATACAAATACATCCTATGACATGTGAGAGTACAGTTCTTCACCTGCTTAAATCAACCTGAGCTGCCTGTACCTTGCAAACACACATTCCTCCCCCTCTCCAGTGAGTGACTCAGTGAGGAAGTGTTTAACTACAGTTGTAAGTCTAGGAGTAACTTCTCCCTTCCTCTCTTCCCCTCCAAACTGATTCATTTCCAAGCAGCTCAACTCCCAGCACTGGAGCCAGAAAACCTGCAGGGACACAAAGGCTGGGGACAAGTGGCAGCGGAGGAATCACTGCCACCTCAGCACGAATCATCTTAGCCTGGCATGGAAGCTGGCCCTCAACTTTGCACACAAATAGCAGCTCTTAGACCACATTTCCATGAGTTACTGAAAAGGATCTTTTGTGCCACTTGAAATGCTAGACTTAACTGGTCTAAAGATATGCCCTGGGATGAACTTAATACTTTATTTGTTTTCCTCAAGCCATTAATCTTGCCAGAATCAAGGTTTTCTAACACAATCTCATAATCTTAATCTGCATCTTCACCTATTTGAAAAGAACATTTTTTTAAACAGAGATCAGTAAAGGGAATTTAGTCACAGTATAAAAGACAAAAGCAGCTTCCAACTTACTAAATGTATTTTGCATCTGTTTTAATAATAGACAATAATCTACAGTCAGAAACTGATGAAAATAAAAAAACCTGATTACAGCGTATTATTTTTCAAATACTTTTGTTAAACAGTCTGTATGGTCTGTATTTACTTGGGAATTCCAACAACACTTTATTCTACTATCCAACTGCTAAAAATCTGCGAACGAATGATAAATATAACATGGGAGTACAAGACAATAAATGTAATGGGAAAAACCCCATCCTATCTCAGAGAAAGACGTTCTCCAGATTGCAAAGTAATATGCAAATTACCTTATATTTTTCTCAGACTGCTGCATTAGATACAAATTACATCTAACTCAGGATGAGCTAGAATAGTTCTTTTCTAACTGTACTAAAATTGTATGAATAAGAAAGATGAAGGTGTTTCAAAACCTCACAATCTACTAGATAGAACAGTTAAGAAGACTGCTCCACCCACTTAAATTTTGAAATTTTTTAATCTTTAAGAATTCCATAGTTTAAAAATAGAATTTTGAATATTGTCTTCTCAACTTACTGCAGTAATGACAGCATTGATGGAGGGCTCTAACTATATGTTTCTAAACTGTTAAATAAAGGATCTTTCCTAACCTAACTCTGAGGATTCAGGAATCAAGAGGGATGACCAGACAAAATGGTTAAAAAAAAGGTAACCTGAGAATGTTTTCAAGACAATTTTCAAAATCCAGCCCTCCTAATTTTATACGAAATTGCTAAGAAAGGAGTGCTTCATTTCTAATGGTACAGATTCTAAATCACATGACATAGCAGCAAAGAAAAGCAAAACCTGCCTCCTCACTGCCATGGCTGTAGACTGTAACACCAATATACACATTAAAAAAAAACGGAAACAGTTGGTCTGCGTGTCCTTATTCCTTGTGACGTGCTCAGGGTATCTGTCCTCTTTTAGAAAGCGATTATACATGTTTTTAAATCAGGCTGCACAGACTCTCCCTAGTAAAAATCTTAGTTTTAATTTACTCTGAAATAACCTGGGAAGTTCCTAAAGATCACACTGTTAAGCAAACAATAAAAAATATAAAATAATAGAAAACATACAAACCTCTGATTGTACATGCCCCGGAAATTATAATTTGCTCTATAATTGGGAATTGGCTTTGGGTCTAACGGCCTGTAGATGGCAGGCTCCCCTCTCTTCATAGCCAGACCATTCAGCTCTACTGTTGGCGTTATACTGCCTGCAAAAATCAAACCACAAATTCTGTAAAACACAGAAGCAGGACTGAGACAAGAGAGACACATGATATTCTTTAGCTCTTAAATTAAGAAAGAAGCAACTACAATGCCATTTCAGTTTCTCTACAGGACAGCAATGAATATACCAACTTAGTCACAAGCAATGAAAAAGAACATTTAAACATTTTTCCCAGTGCACTCTCTATGCAGCTTCAGTAGATTAGTCTTCACATAGGAATGACAAAGTCAGTGGTATAATCAAACTGTTTATTCATACTTCCAAAGTGCTTATAATACATTACGGCACTTTCTGAAACTATAAAGATAAAAGAATAATGTCTCTTCCCACTGCATACCATTAAAAAAAAACATAAATAGAGCAAAGAACATTGAAACAAGTAAGCAGTAACAGGCATTACTGCAGTCATTTGGCAATCTCACAAGTTAAAAAAAACGTTTGATTTGCAAGATTTGAAAACTTAAGATTATGACTATAAACTGATGATCTATCAAACTGAAAATACAACTACTGGAGATGGAGATCAGTGTCACTACAGCCATCTACTGGTGACAGAATACAGAAATAGAAACAGCCAGCACTTGTCCATTTGCATGGTTTCCAAACTGCCAAAATAAAATGCTACACTTCATCTACTTATTTACTTTTAAATAAAATGCTCAGCTATAGTATTCCCCATTTGTACTGTTGTAAGAAAATCCTAAATGACCTAAATGCACATTCCAATAAAAAGCAGCTACTATTTTCTCAAAATATTTTAATAAGAAGTTTAAATGAATCTTGTCTTAAAAGAATGAATTTGCCAGCCTGCTACTGAGGCTTTTTATGACAAAACCAAAAATTTTTTATGCAATACTTATTCAAAATTTCCATCAACAACAATTTTTATATTTCCCAGAGCAATGAACAACTATGAATTTAATAGAATAAAAATGCAAAACTACTTGTGCATACATAACACACCTTTCTTGGAGAAAAATTACAGCGTTAAATGATAACATTTAAATTCTTCTAAAGCCTATTTCTTTTCTTATCAGCTCTTCCCTTTACGGATATGCCCAAAGATAAAAAAATCTAGAAGCTGAGTAATACTCTGCAATATCAAGAATCAAACCTCAAGTCCCTTTTTATAGGGGTCTGAGGCTCCTGCTTTCTAACAGTCAAATCACAGTGATTGTGAAGGACACAGGACAAAACCAGTGTCCTGGGTCTGGAGAAGGGATGTACTGATCGACAAAGGAGCAAGAAAATTCTCTCGCACCACTCCCAAACAATCCTTATTGGTTAATGCTCACAATAGGCTCTAAAGAAAACTTATTCCTCCTTTTTTTCCACCATAGAGAAGACTAACTGTAAAATTACTCCATTTTAAGAAAGTGGATGGAGAAGACTTTTTTTAAAAGGGTGAGAGGGGCAGAGGGCAATAAAAAAGGAAAAAGAGAAAAGGGGGAAAAGGGAGTGAAAAAGGAATGTAAAAAAAGAAAAGGAAAATATTACATTTTTTCTCAATATTTGCTTTATTTTATATCAGTTTGAAATAAAGTTAGGAATTTTTTTTAATTTATGGATAAGGGCAGAATAGATCACTGAGCACATGGCTGAGGTGTGTACCTCAAAAGGTGTGTCATACATAGAAGGCAACTCACAGGTAACATCTCAAAACAAAGGATGCAATACACCAGAATGCATTCTTTCTACTATTCAGACAACAGTTTCTAAAGCCACGTGAAAGCTTTTCAAAAGCACAGGTTGCTATGAAGGAAAACTCCCAATGCAGGAAATTACCTGTCAAAGTTCTCAGGATAAATCCTGACCTTTTATTTACACCACAGATGCAATCTCACAGGATTGGACTGGATAAAATTTCCAATTTCACTGGAAAACTAGCGAAAAAAACTCATTGGGGAAAAATGTGTTACTATGGTAATAAAGCTCAACTCAATTTCCTTTTGTCATGTCTGTCTACTGTTGATCACATACAATTACTTTGTATACATTCGAGCCTTATCTAAATAATATATTTACTTGCAGTCCAACCATTTTAGTATAAGCATTAAAAACTGGCCTGTGGAAACTCATCTCTTCATCATACTTCTGAACCTATAAGAGGGGATTCTCATCCTTCAACTTATAACTTGTTAAATTTATTTACTAGTGGTATAATATTCTAACACTTCAACAAGATGTAACACACGGAGGAAAATGCCTTACCTGGATTATTGTTAACATTATTTTTAGGTGGTCTAGGCGTTGGTTTGGGAAGGGTAGTTTCATTCAACGCTTTGCTAGCAGCAGCATGTTGTGCCTTTTTAATACTGCTTCCTTCAGCTTCCCATGTCTGTTCTCCAAGAGTCAGCTGCACTGTGAACATCTTCAAAGACAAAGAACAGGTAAACACTGGCAAGATTATCACCGATCTGTATAAAAATTTCACAGGCTGAAGAGAAACCATGCTCTCTTCTCATTGTATTCAACTCACAGATGACATATTTGATTCTTACAGAGATCAGTGAGTCCTTATCAATGAGCAACATTTGGCCTTCCAAACGACGAAGTGAAAATAGCATAACGTTAATGTTAACTTATCGAAGAAGAGAGTGGTATTTAAACCAAGTACTAATAACTGCAAACTGATCCCCTGCTCTTGGAAGACTACATTCAGATCAGTTAAGACCATATTTCTCCCCACATTTGAACACATTTAGTCACTTTACCTGCAGAAAACAGGCAAAGAATGCTACCAAAAAAAACCCCAAGTAACTGTAATAATTCTGAATGGATATAAGTGACTGCACACTATTCAAGGCCCCAAGAGTTTTACCCAGTGACATAATTTCTCACTTCTGAAAATAATGTGTGCTGTTAGGGCAGAGTCACAACTCAAATATGTTCAAAAATATAAAGTAAGAAAGAAGTATTATCTTTTCGAATGAAACTGTATTTCTTTAATGTAGACACTATAGTGAAGACAGGAACTGTAAAAATTCAGGATTTGGAAACGGGCTATTGATAAAAACCCATATATTTCAAAATCTGCAGTAAAGGATTGTTTCAAGCAGTATCTACTCTGTGCAAGTCATGAAAATAAAAGTCAGTGCATAGTTAAGATAGAGTCTATCTAATATCTGTAAGTCTTCTGTATGACGTGTACATGTTCTGTTTAAATTTGAGTATCTAAGAGCAAGAGGAGAAAGGGCAAAAACTCAATGTCTTTTTCATATCAATTTCATATATATATAAGGCAGGATTTAATAGTCAGACACACACTAAACTGAGATACACCTACTTCAGAAAACAGTCTAACTTACTTGAGGCAACATAAAGAAATCTACATATTACTGTGAGCAGTATGTAAAGGAAAATTCTTTTTGATATTTCTTTGCTCTGTAATACATAAAATTATTTAAACTTGCTAGATCCAGGACCAGGTATCTAGTGATGCGCAACCTTTAAATTTGTCTTTACATATATCCTCATTTAGCATGTCCTTGCAAACAAGTACTTCAACACAAGTATGTATGTGCCTCCCAACTCAGCCACATACACGTGCCCACACCGCGTATGAACTGAACGCTATAAATACATATTGTGTCTTAATTACAGGCTTGAGTTTTGCCCTAGTGTAATTTTCAGAAGCACAGTGCAAGTCCCCGTATCACAGTTCCTATTACCATACCATTTTTTCCGCAGCAGTCAGGACAATTTCTTCACAGACAAGGAGGCAGAGAGAAGCAGTCTTTTAATTTTGTACTCTGGCAAATCCCACTGCCACCTGAAAGCTAAGCTGGGTATTAGAGCTAAATACCCATTAAATACCCATAATTATATAAATTGTCTATTAACATACATCCTTATTACTAAAAGAACTGAAATTTGATTTCTGAATCTGGAGTTTATATATTTTGCATTTTGCAAAAAGGTATCTGTGTAGTATTTTTGTAGGAGGAGAATAATCTTGAATTTTAATAAAACTATGATGAATAATGGCTACTTATCTACTTGTAACTCTCCTCTTAGTGCTTATAGTCATAAACAGGAATTCAAGATAATAAAGGGCTTACTCAGTATTTCTGTAGCTAGCACTGTAACCTTCTCACTTAGACCATCCGTCAAAAAAACTCGTGAAAAAAACCCACACGCAGCAGTAACTGGGAATTTAATTAAAGTAATAAAACTGCCAAACCCCAAAACCTGGAGAAGCCAATAAAGTGCTTAAGTTCCACAAGACCAGAGCTGATGGTTCTGCTATGGATTGAGAGGCATTTCTCGACAGTTTTCTGAGGAAAAAAGTATTCCTTACATCCAGCTTATTTTACCTGATGGCTAGAGAGTGGAAATGCAAAGGCCACTGTGCTTTGTGCTTGTTTTCACTCTGCAGTGCTCATAAGGTCAGTCACCCTTAGCTCTGGCAACTCTTCCATCCTCACTTTTCCTGCACGTGGGACTTTCCCTCCTCCTTGCCGGCCTTCTGAAGTGCTACGTCCCTTACCCCTTTCCCTCTCCTCTGTGCCACCATCCACTTTATTTTGCTCCTGTTTCTTTTAAATTTGTCTCCTGAAACATAATTATTGACACCGAAGCACAGAAGAAATGATCAATCTGACTAATATACTCAAAAATGTCATTTCTGCTAAAAAAGACTTTCTGATTTTTCTTATGATGAAGAATCCACCTGGAGAGCAGACTCCCAGAAACGCTAACTGCACGGCCAGGAAGCACCACTTCCCTCCCAGTTCCACTGCTCCTAGTTTCTCATTTCACCCCAATTGTCAAAACTTACTTTTCAGAAACAACTAGAAAAAAAGGATATCAAAATTTACCAGCATTTGTGGTCACAACACAGAGAGCTATCTTGTGGAGCATGTCTCTAAAAATCATGAAAAGGACTAGTGGACAGGAACAGAATACGTGTAGGAGGAAAGCAACGTGAGACGCTTCTTAAAGGGCAAATAGCAGAGGCAGCATTACATCCTTCAGGCCATGCTTTCCAGGACAAACTCAGCTTTCTTTCACATATTCTATCAGGTATATCATCATATTACTCACCAAACATTATGCTAACCCAGTCATAATAATTTCTATGTCTCTGTTTTTCATAGGTCAAAGACACACAAGTCGCTAATATCACCTTAGTTCTTCATCCCCTTCCCTCCTTTGTTTTTCTCGTTTGCTGCACAGGTCAAAATCAAACTTAATATTCTTCTAAGTTTACAGCACACTTTTTTGTGTTTTTTTTGGACCACTATGAGTGTAATTAGAAATAATAAGAGGTAAATTGGAAAACTGGAAAATAAAGAAATCCATTGAAAATCTGGCTTTCAAAAGTGCAGCTAATGTAGGCTCAAGCCATTAGTTTCTTTAAAAGTAGTAACAAATATAAGTGATCCTGCTAAAATTTAAAGTATAGTATGGATATAATGTAACCCAAACCTCTTTATCGCTGAGGAATAAGAACAGCCAAAACCTTTTGGTACAGGTAAAGCACTTCTTATGTCACATTAATGGGGAAAAAGGTAACAAAATAAATATACAACACAACAGTGAAAAGTTACAGAAAGCACAACAGATTTAACATGCCGCAGGCTAACACCAATCAACCAGCGTATCCCGTGGTGCTGAACACCTCCAGGAAGGGGAGGAGCACTTCAATCACCATTTGCAATGACGGATCCTAAAAGCTCGCTGACTCTCAGCAGCCCTGCACCTGCTCACATCGTTTCCACCAGCAGAAAGGATGCAGGAACTCCAAACCAGAAGGTCAGTGATTTCCATCAATTCTGTGCTAGCTGACAACATAACGTGCAACTGGGAAACAAGGAGCAGACACAGCCCACGACTAGCTGAAACGGTTACTGATCTACAGTGTGACCCCAGCGCCTTGTGCGGTTTTGCCACTCTAGAAACACCGACTAGAAAGCAGTTACTAATTACACCATTGTCTCTCACAGAGCTTTTTTTGGCTTTTTTCTCTTCTGACAAAATTGCTCCTAACTAGGGAGGAAATTCAAAATTATGTCTGGAAATTATTATCATGAGAATATCCCTCTCGTGTTTCCCATCATCCAAAAGCATCCTAATTTTTACTTATGAAGTTGGATAGCCAAACTGATATGAGAACTGACCAGATTTAACTGTCAGTTCACTATAAATTTTAATGCTACAACCATATCAAGAGTCTTAATATCACCATAAATGTTAAGAATTTAAAGAAAAGAACAATAATAAAGTTTTGTGCCCTATAATGCAAGATCCGAAGATATAGTATCAGTGCAATTAAATTTATGGGCACAGATTCATATAAATAAGCACTTTAAAAAAATGACTCAAACTAGTTTTGTCATCATCTGCACTACTGTGAAACAAATGCAGAGGTAGTTAACACAGGCACACCGACAAGGGAGAACGATTCACGCAGCTTAAAAAGCAAATGCTCCGTAACGTCTAAGGAAGGGTGGTGAAACCCTGGAGAGACCTTCACAAGGTCTTTATGCAGACCAATAAATATAAACTCAGGAGGTGGAAGTCAAAGTAAAGTAAAATTGATCTCCTAGGCTTCAACAGAAATACAGACATACCTTCTGAAAGTGTAAAAAAAAAAAAAAAAAAAGAAAAAAGAAAGCAAAATAAAGAACAGTAGAGAAACCCCTCACAGTACAAAAGTGGCTCATCCAGACCATGACATTATCTGTTCAGCATTTAAGGTATGGCTCATCACCTGGAACTGTGACCTTACCTTGGCATGAGCAGGCCCTCTTTCATTCAGAAGCTTATACTGGGGTTGAATTCTATTGAAACGGGCTAACTCATTTACCAGACACATTGGAGTTTTCTCTTTGGGGTTTGCCATGTTATCTTGGAGAGGAGCTGTAAATAAAGAGTCTGTAAAGTTTTTGTGGAGAAATGTATTCTTCACAACTTCGCAAAGCTTTGCAAAAGCAGCAGCATGCTTAGAAAAGAAAATACTTTGGCTAAAAAATAGGTTTTGCACGTATGCTAAATGCAATGTTTAAATACTGTTTACATATTAATCATATGAGAATATGCATCTTACAATAATTGTCAAGATTACATGCACTTAAAAAATACAACTATTTCTTTCCAAAATGTGTCTATAAAAGATGACAGTTTATGAGGACATATACATATGCTACATTTTCTACATCACCAGAGTTTAATGTCAGGAGTATACTGGTTTCAGGAATTGACTACTCTTTCAGAATGGTTTCTCAATACTCTGAAGCAGAAGTAGACAGTATAAAACTTGCAAGACAAAGAGAGCAGATGAAACCCCACTTGCTTCTCCTTGCTTGTTCCCAGTATTTTATTAGACTTTTCTCACAATAATGAAGTCATTCTTAGAACACTCTCAAAGAACACCTTTCCTCTCCCTTTAAGGGGTTTGTTCTGCTTTTCTTAGACTACTTCCATCATGTGTACCACTTTACTACTTTTTAACTTTCTGCTTTTCTTTTTCAACTTCTTTGTATTTGTCCTTAACACACATAATCATTTTTTGCATAATCTTTTTAGGTTAACATTTCTGGATTTTATACCCAGTTCAGCATAGGAACTACAGCATTTATTAAGCTACAAAGGAAACACCAAATACTGCCAAGCAGTCTAAAGACATTCTGTTCTAGGGAAGAGAAATAAACTTGGAGACCTTCCTGCACCGGTAAAACTTCTCTATAAAAGATACACTCAGCAATTGACAAAATAGACATGTTCTTTCCTGGATTTTACACTATTGATCAACACTTCACTGTAAGTGTGAGCTCAGTTAAAGGAAACTAACTTTGTAAACCATCTATTTAGCCAAAATATTTTTTCTATGGAATTTTTTTCCTTTATTTAAATCCTCTTTAAGATCTAACTTTTTTAAAAAAAAAAAAAATTAACAAGTTATCAAAAAGATTCATCTGAACACCAAAAAAATTATACTCGAACCAACTTACCTGGTGAGTTGCTAGAAGGTGCAGGATCTGCAAGGCCGGCAGTAGGACTGCTGCAGCTGGCAGCTGCTTCCGAAATGGATCCATTCATTGAGGATGGCAGACCCAGTGTATTTGTAGTTGTTACTGGCAGGGCTAGCACCATAGGGGACATGGTAGGTCCAGACAGGTTTGCTGTAGTCTGCATCTTAACTTGTGCCATTGCCTATCACTGCAATAAACACGTTATTATGAGCAAGGCACTTTGCATTTTAAGTATCAAACGACAGGAGTTATATTAACAACACTTCTGCCCCTGGATCTGGGTTTCGGAACTATCCACAAAAGTCACATCTCTGCACACCTGCCTTCGAAAGCAATGCACAGAGAAAGAGAGCTCACACAGCTAAAGAAAATCACCTAAGCAGAACCCACACACCCTGACTCCAGGTTCTGTTGCTCAACTATGGGGTGACCCTGCCTGGAAG